AACAGAACTGAACAAGGAAATTTATCCTCAAAACTGTGGCTGTCACAGTGTCATGATTCAGGGACTTGGCAACCAGCTCACAATTACAATGGCTGTGGTGTCCTTGTCATGCCCCTGTTGGAGTCTGACTCAGAGGGAGAGGAGGAACAGCCGACAGGGAGTAGAAGTGTGGCTCCGGAGGTTGTGGAGGAAACTGGGGAAGGGCACAGGCCAGCTGGGCATTCAGAGGAAGACCCAGGCCCATCCCCTCTTCATTCTAGGGCACGCAGGGAGGAGCGGATAAGGGAGAAATGTGAATGGTGTGGTCTATGGGGGAGGAAAGGGCCCTGATCCCCTTCATGGGCTGCAGCTGTGAGGACTGTTTAAAAGGACAAACTGCACATGACCCAGTGTTGGAAGCAAAGTTTGAAATAATTCTAGTCTTTCAGTTCTTATCTGAGTTTTGGCATCCTTCCCAATGTGTGTATTTCAATATCTGTGGACGTCTTCAAGCCCTTATCCTGCCTTGTCTCATTAATTGCTTCAGTGTGGTTTGTGTTGTTTTTTTCTATTTATAATTTATATGTATTTTGAGTTTGAATGGCATTTCTTCCTTTTTACAACTGTTTGTGGGGGAGTTTTTTCTCCAGGCAATGATAATTGGAGCTTTGAAGCCAAGTTGGAGGCATTAAAGGAACTTTATTCTATTTTTGTGACTTGGTTATTTTTGTGTCACGCCCCGGGTCATCACAGTCTTTGACTGCTATTTGCAACCTGAAATGTAGGCTTTCAACAAGAAGAGTCAATAGGGGAAGTCATCAGGGTCTGACCAATATCAATTATGCGACATGGCACCTAACGATCCCATGAAATTCGCCAAAGGACCGCAACTGGAAATTTCAGAACTTCTTGTAAGTTGCTTCACAACGACATTACCTAGCAACAGAGTTCCTGGTCCAAATTACTATTGTTAATTGAGGCCCACCTATTTGTGCTCTTAATAAAGATTCAGGAGCCAATTATGTAGAAAGTCAGCTGCAAGCTTCTTCAGTATCAATGAGAAGATCCACTCCATGCATATTACGAAATAGTACAGATGCTGGAATTCTTTCAACCCTTTCTTCTCAATAAATCTTGTTAATGAGAACACTGTGAGGATTGCCCTTGGAAAGAATTACGTTGGGTTTTAAGCAGTTGTCTGCTTAAGAGCCTGACAGATATGATCTTAATATACAAAGTGATCAAAACTAGGATTACCATATGTCCATATTTTCCCAGAAACAGAAGTCACAGGGAAGACTCAATGACTGACATTCTCAGTGTTAGTTACTGAATTATAATCCCTGGTGTTCTGAAATGGGGCAGCAGAGCTGGATAGAACTTCTTGGCTGCCTCCTGATTGATGCACAAAAATGAGGGAAATCGATCAGCAAGGAGAAAACTGCTGCTCTCCATGAACTGCTAGAAGATGCCATTCAGGGTTTGGGGTGGTTTAAGGCTGCTGTTGTTTGTGTGTGTGTGTGTGTGTGTGTGTGTGTGTGTGTGCGTGTGTGTGTGTGTGTGTGTGCGTGTGTGTTTACTAGACAAGTGAATGAACAAGAAAAGGCTTATTCAAATGCTAGGCATGTGATTTCACATCACAAACATACATTCTGATGGTTCAGGCTTCTGATCTCCGACCGCAATCCCTGACTCAGTTTGTAAAAACTTGTGTATAAATTCTGGCAGAGATTTTTGAAGGACAAATACTGGCTTAGTCCCACTTGGGAGAAACCAAGGACCTGCAATTGATTTATTTGGGTATTTGCAGTCCCTGTGCTAAAAGTATGTGAGTAACTGAGTGAGTGAATCAGTCAAGCCAATCAATCAATCAATCAATGTTTCATGTTTCTCAGTTTCCAGCAGGTTCTGTTTTTCAAATGCAGTGATACACATCAACCCCACCTAAGCATTAAAAACTTAATATACTGTAATGTAAACACTCCTTTTATTTTTGTTTTAATGAAATATTTATAAAATGTGAGCTGTTCAATCTCGTGCTTTCCATTTTTGTTTCAGATCTAGTATTCACCAGCTAGCATTCCCATTCACACCACTGAAGATCAAGGGAATTGGTTTCAGACATCTAAACACCATGTTAGAGAAAACATTATTAAATAATCAAATGCCCTTGATTTTCTTGATTTATCTATCGGTTATTTTTACAGTGTTTTTCAATATTATGCATAGGCAGCAATATTGTGCACTCATTACAAACAAATGTTATTTGCAAAAAAAAAACACCTTCTACTCAGAATAACTATTGCAAATATATAGAAAGCTCCAATTAGGATTTCATTTTTTTTCAAAAGAATTTCACTACCGTCAGAAAAAGAAATGTTGCAAAGGTATTTTGAAATGCATAACAATGACGCTTTCTTAGCCTGGTTATGTTGAGTCAAAGGGCTGGGAGGAAACATTGTTTATCCTCATTAAAAGAGATATCTAGAGATTTGTTTTACTTTTACTTTTTTCCTGAACTTCACTAATCAGCCTTGGAAGTATTGTTCTGTTTGTATCAAGTCCAACACAATTACGTTTGATTCAGAATGACACGCTTATGAGCTGAACAGATCCTGTGACACCCCCAGAACCCTAAATGAAATAAAACAAAATAATTTTCTTAGAATTAAACCTTGGTGTGAAATTATCACATCTCATGAGATTCAAGCAACACCATGCTTGAACATCAGCCTAACTTGCAAGATTTTTTGGGGGGACACATGTGCCTTGGTCCTGTGAAAGCTTGTTGTCCCTTGTGTTGAACCAATGACTCTCCCAATAGGAGATTATATTCACTGTTTCCCCAACATATCACAAGGCTTCAGTGGACATCATACCTATCTAAGGGACACTGATGATGCTAGCTTGGAATCATAGGACTTGTAATTCAACACACCTAAAACCCAACTGAGAAAAGACTGACATTCAATGTTATATGTCAGACAAAATAGGAAAATATTTTACATTTTCTTAAACTTTTAGAGCCAGTTAGGAAACTCCACAGACAACAGAGTTAAGCACAACTTCAGGGAGATATTCCTTTTATAAAATAAAAATATAGACGATCCTGCAGATTGCAAATATTTGGTTTCCTAACCTCTGACACCTTTACTTCCTGATTACTTCTGTTGCCTTTTTACCAACTATTCTACTATTTCCTGTGATTACTAATTGATCTCTGCCAATCCTGGTTTTGGTCTCCAGATGGATCTACCGATGAGCAATTGTTGAATCATCTACCCAGAGGCATGGAGGTTCTTCAGGCTAACATCCAAACTATGCCCACATGTTGCTGCACCCTCATACCAAGCACTTTACTCAAAGATCATATACCACATTCCTTCCTGTTGAATTGTTATAAAGTTCCTGTTAATCTTTCTGGATGGGGTTAACGTCTTGCCGAACAATTTTTGTAGGCTTAAGGTTGACTATGGTCAACCTGTGCAATTTGTGGCCCACAGGCTGGAAGGAGAGTGGAAGAAAGAAGCATCTATCTACAAAGGACACTCTGTACATGTAATTCTGAATTAGGTTTTTAGGGATAAGCCTCTAAATTTAAAGGATCTAAAGCTGGCAAAAGAGTCATCTCAGAAGGTGAAGCAACCAACACCCCAAAGGCACATAAAGGCCCAAGTCTCCTTTTTTTGTAACCTTGTAGCTGCCTCTGCAGATAATTGCTGAAAACTCGGGGCACCCTTTCTTCCCATTTTGAAGTGGGAAATACAGGAAAGAATTTAAGTTTAACTTCTAACATTGGTTTAACAAACTTTATCCCAGCTCTCCCAAAAATGAAAACATAAAAAATAAGAGAGAGACAGACAGAGATGAAAAAAGAGAATCCTGGCCATATCCATACAGGGAAGCTTACTATTATTTGAGAGAAATAAGGTTGCAGTACGTGGGACAGTTAGACCTGTTCTGCTGCATGATTTTGTTAACTTTGGCTCTCTTTTACCAGCTGAAAAGTCCAAAAGAAAGTTCTTCTTTACAATTTTGATAGGTTAGCACTTCCACCTGGAAATCCTACAGATATATTGGATGTGCTGGGTAAGAGTTTTGGAAGTGGTGCTCTGAACATATTTGATTCGATAGTGAAGCTCTAAGAACATGTAAACTAAATTACATGACTAGAGAACTGGAGCTGATTCATATGCTGATTAAACACTGCATGTATCTTTTTATAGTGGAAAGACAAAGGAAAGATTTGTACAGTCCAAATCATTATTAACAGTGGTATTTTTTTCTTTCATTTTTATACCGAGCCTTTCCAGTCATTAATTCATGAAACCTATGAATTATTTAAAAAAAATTGGCAATAAAGACATGTCTATGATTGTTCATCTTAAAGGGATTGTATCTCTGATCATTGAGTCTATCAGCAACTGAGGAGTTTCACAACAGGATCACTTGCTGGAAAATGAAACACTAGACTAAATGGACATTGATTTGCTCCAACAAATCTCATGTTCTTTGTTGCATGAAGTGATGATGAATTTTAAGTTTAGATAAAAATATTTTTAAATCTTGTTAAAAATCAGATAAAACACTTCAGTACATGCATATCTACCTCACCTTTCCTAGTGGTTTACTTTTATGGCTAGCTGATTTAATGGTTTAAAAATGTCTTATTGTTTTATATGGTGCAAATATTCATTTTGGAAGCTATCTTTGAGAAGTAGAACAGAATTATCTTTAACAAGGTGACTGCAAATACTTTTAAGGAAATACCTACTGTAAGTCTGACTTTGTTCTCGTTCACAAAAGGTTATGGAAATGAACCCCCTGTGAAACAAACTCAGGAGTTAAAATTGTCTGATGTATATCTGATACCAAAAATAGGAGCTTAAATTTAGCATGTTGATGTGACTGCTGCCTTCCCAGATCCTCCCACTCTCCACCACAGCAGCTGCAGCTAAAAATAGAAGATGATAAGAGAGAGGGTTTCTCCATCAGAAAAACAGGTCCTGAGTACCTGACAGAATCACAAAGCAGCAATGCACTCGCTACGGTTTCTGAGTGCTGAAGTTCTGGTATCTAAGGGGCAGTTGGTAAGGCAGAACCTGAGCCATCTTGCGCACAACCTCTTCCCTCTTCTTTTTAAGGCAAGCTACTTACAGGAGCAGGTGGAGGTGATTCATGACCTGGTGGAGAACTGGCCACTGGCCGAATTCAATGTTGGAAAGTTACTGGGAAAGACAGCTGATCACCCAGAAGACATCAGTAACCGAGCCTGTTCTCTGTGCCTGACCAGCTGCCTAGCTGGTTTGAAGGACTATGTTTTGAATTTCTCATCACCCTATGCGAAACGACTCAAAACCGTGGACTTAACAGGCATAAAGGATGTTGAAGTTCAACTCTGCCCCTGTAGAAAAACAATGGGACGGTGGGCCCGGACAGAACTTCTCTCAAGGACCTGCTATGACCTGCTGGTGGACATGCAAAACTCGCCCTTCCTTCCTGATGTGTTTGAAGTCTCTGTGGATGTCTATGCCGACATCTTTGTTACTGAACGAAACTATGAGTTAGTTGTCCAGGCACTGCTAATGAGGTGTCACTGCCCACTCAAAATCCGCTGCAAAGCCTTCCGAGTGGACAATCTGGCTCTACGGAAGCTCTTCTACATCATAAAGCTTACGGAGCCCTCTTCCCTGGGCAAGTTTGAAGTAGTTCACAATGTTAGGCTCCATATGGAACATTTGCAAGTGCTTTTTAATAACGTCCAGTTTCCTAAACTGGCATCACTCACACTGCCAGCTGGGACCTTTGATGTGAGAAGGCTCACACCAGAGGATGAAGACATTCTTTCAGGAATTGCGGAAAAGATGAGCCAAATGACTCAGCTGACGGAGTTGAGCCTGGCATTTTCCACCCTCACCGGACGGCTCCGTAAACTGCTCAGGTAATGCGTTCCACATTGCTTTTGCTGTGAGTCAAAGTGCCAGGCAGTTGGAAATGCATGAAGAAAGGATTAGGTATCACCGCTACTACTACTGTTATTGGGAGGAAGGCACGGTGATAGAGAACAGCAATTGCATGTTGCTGGTTAATTGATAACAAATCACTCACTCACCAGGATGGTTCCATATTATTCCAGTCTTACTTGGGGAGGAATTGAATCTGACAGAAACCAGCTGTCTCAAATTGTCTCCTAGACACTCTGGCTAAGAGAAATGAACTCAGATTTTCAGTGGCTCAGGCCAATTAATAAGAGACCAACAAAATGTTCCCATGGGGATTTCCAGGTAAAATATTCTGCTGAAAGGTTTTCAACTTTCAATGCATGAGACATTTTATTCTTTGGAGTTCATAGTTAATAGTTTTGAGCAGTAGATGTCCAGTGGGTACAGGTTATATTACCATGAACTCCAAAGTGCCTTCTTCCAATTCTTTGATTGTTTTACCCTTCCCTTTGGTTTACAGAACATATTTATATATCTCTACTGAAAAGGAATTAAATCTGGCTTAATTCCATGTGTATAAGACTGATCTGTAATCATGATTTTAAAAATGCAGCAGTTTGGGGAAAAATTATTTGGGGTCTGATCAAGCCCTAAATGACAAACCAAAGGAAAGTCTCTTTCTATACAAAGTATTTATATTTCACATATGAAAATAATATCTCAATTGTAATTTGCTATCAAAAGCAGTTTTATAATATAGAAGATCTAATTTTTTTATCCCAAAACTATATTGGGGGCACTTTCTGAGCCAACAGTCAAATCAATATCAGTTACAGCATACTATTATTATTCTTACTATGCCTGAGACAGAAAAGAAATTATGAGCAGCTACTGAATTCATTATTTAAATCATCATCCTGGCATGGAATTACTTTCTTTAGCTCAGGCTTGTCCAAGCCATGGCTCATAGGCTGCATGTGGTACTGGACAGCTAAAGTAGCTCCACAAGATAATAAAGCAATATAAAAAGGGTTTGTCATTAGTAAAGGAGAATATTTGTAGCTCAAGGTGAAATGAAGGGTCCTTGGTGCTCTCTGAGCTTGGTTGTTTTCTTGCAGATGTTTAATTATCCAAACTAGGTAACATCATCAGTGCTAGTTACCTAGTTCAGGTAATGAAATGTCTGCAAATAAACAACCAATCTCAAAGAGCACCAAGGACTCCTGAAATTTGTTATTTATATACATTATATATTTTATCAGCAGCCCAAGACAATTCCTCTTCACTCAATGTGGCCTAGGCAAGCCAACAATTGGACTATCAAGCTTTATAAAAATCTAAAATAATAAAGGATCAAGAAATCCTAAGCCTTTGGATAAAAAGTTAAGAAGGATCTTTTCTACTGAGATGTGACATTAAAAGTGAAACTTAAATTCATAAATTTAGGTGCACATAAGGAAGCCCTTTCTTAAGCCAATGTCTTTGTCTTCCTAAATCTTGAGCAGCTACTACCCTTAATCTCACCAGCAGTCCCTCTAATTGGCTAAGGAGGAGCCTACGCACACAGACCAGAGGTGGTATTCAGCAGGTTCTGACCAGTTCTGGAGAACCGTTAGCGGAAATTTTGAGTAATTTTGAGTAAATATCACCTCTGGAGATTTTACAGTATCCGTCCCCTGCCATGCCCACCAAGCCACGCCCACAGAATCCCACCACTGATCACAGACACAGACCCAAACCTACACAGACACACACAGAAAACAATAGTAACCCCATCCTCATTCTCATTCTTCCATTGCTACATTTTCTTGGGGGACAGGAAAAGCATAACAACCAAATTCACAATATAGAGAAGGTTGCACGAACCATTGCAACCAACTTTTTCGAAGGGTTTGTGCTGTAATTCTCACATTGCAGATTTGGACAAAGGCACTACAATATTTAAAGGATTGTTTTAAGTGTGTTTCTTAAGGATTGCAAAGGTGGAAATGGAATACAGGAAAGCCTTAATTCTAGCAAAAATATGCCACAGAAATCTCCTTTTTTCTACCATGTTCTTATATTCCTTGATTGGATCCCAGGCCATCCCTGAGACAGCTTTAAGTCACTTATGAAGTTGTACTGGAAAGAAGCGTTATTTCCCTTAACAAAGTTTTGCTTTGATTAGAGTGATGCACTTCACCAACCACCCTACCAGTGGGGCTTTCAGGTGCCCCACCTCCACCCCCCAGGAGCTTGGGATCAACCAGGGACCTATTGGCCACTTTAGGCTGATGCAAACAGACTCCCTTTTTTTCCAGGCTATTCTTGACTCATAGCCCACGGATCTAGATTAGTTTGGGCAGCAACTTACCAAAACTGGCAGAGCGGATGCTGCACAATGCAAGGGGAAAGAGAAAGCTAACGCCTGAATAAGTTTTGAGTAAGAGCTACATTTATTGGTCTAGCCACCTATCAACATTTGCTTCTTCTCTAATCCACATTCCACATTAAGGACAGTGGTTGGTGACGATATTTGGTGAGAGGAGAAGAAAATAACGATGTGAGACTTCCTCTCCTTAATAAGGTCTCTATAGACAAGAAGGGCATGGCTGTTTGGGAACCTCATGTCTGTGGGTTGCTAGATTTGGGGAGGGGGAAATATCTGTATTCAGTAAATGTTATATTAGTAGAGCTTTGTGTCAGTTCATTGACTGTTAGACATCTTAATTTGGCCATGAAGAACCCTGAATCAATATTTTTACCAATTTTGTGGGCACTCTAAATAATTTGGTATATAATACCCTGGTTTGACCTCTCCACTGTTCAGCCCTACTCTTTCTGGAATACTTGAAAATAATGTGTCTCAACTCCAATACAAATATTCTGTTTACATCTCGACTCTGTGTGAAAGGAAACTAATTTATTTCCACTTTCTTCTTCCTGTACTTCAATCAGCCACCAATCTATAAGAGGACTTCTCCTCTTATCCCATGACTGCTAAATTTGCTCAGAGTCTTTGATGAGGGACTTTATTAAAAGCCTTTTGAAATGCCAGATAAACAAGGTCTGGCAAATGAATCACATCCACTTATTTGATGAAACTTTCAAATGTCTCTCAAAATTAGTGAGGCAGGAATTATCTTTGCATAAACCATACTGAAGAATTAGCAAGATGTTACCATATGCCCAGATGACCATTCTATTTTTTAATACCACTTTTCCACCAATTTACTTAGCTAGGTGATCTATACTTTCCCCGATCCCTTTTTTTAAAAATTGACACTAGAACCATTTTCCATTCTTATGTTACAGAGGCTAGCCTATGCATGTTTATTTATCTCTTGTTTTTAAAAGCTGTAGAATGGACTAGTACAATTATTGGATTTGTGGTTTTATTGAACTTTACAGTCCTTTGAAGACACCGCTGAAAATGCTGGATGTTTCCAACTGTTCTCTGAACCATCCTGACATGGCTTATTTAGCCAACAGCCTGCATTCTGAGAATCTAGAAGCTCTTGATATCAGTGGACATGATGTGGCTGATTTGTACCCATCAACCTTCTTCAAACTCCTGAACCGTTCGTCTTATACACTGAAAAGCCTCACACTTGAGGAATGCAACATTCAGGACATTCATGTCAACATGCTGATTTTGGGGTTGATTCCTTGTCACAAATTAGAGGAGCTAAAGTTCCTTGGAAATCCTCTATCTTCTCGAGCCTTGAAATGCCTTTTTAATGTTTTCATTGATTTTCCAAAGCTGAAATATATCGAATTTCCGGTTCCGAAAGATTGCTATGCAAGCAACATCAGTTACCCAATTGGGGAAAGTGATCTTTCGAAATTTGACCACCAGAAATATGAGAGAATAGTCGAAGATCTTCATATGATTTTTTTGCAAGCAAAGCGGGAAGACATCAAGGCTTCTACGCCCCTCTATGGAGGGTATGATGCTGCAATTCAGGAAACAGGAAATGAACTAGGAATTTCTTTGTTGAAGTCATTCCAAGATGCCCTACAAAATTTCAGCGTGGCCCTTAAGGAAATGAGCTGAAGTTTGAAGCTGAAGTGTATGTAAACGAAATATGAGCACATAGGGAGAATTGAAAAGGGTTTGTGGTACCCTCAAACTCATATCGTGGTCACCTTATGGTTGTTCTATAACCATCCCCTTTGATACTGGTTTGACCTTCCAATATCTTCATTTCTTGAGAAAATTCAGACATACATACTAAAAATAAGATAAATCACAAATCTATAAAAAAAGTATGCATGGACATAGTGACACCCATCTGTTCCCTATTACACAATGCAGTGTTGTTGGGCAGGCACTCTGTTTAGGGAATTCCAGAGCAAGCATACAGTAAATGCAAAACTGCAACCCACATTGCATCCTTCCTCATTTATTTTTATAGATATTTTGGCAAGAAATTGAAGCCCTCATTGACAAATAAAATATCTGATATGGATGCTAAATAGATGATGGTTTCAGAATACTTCGACATATGGTACTTACTATTTTAAGGTCATGAGCCAACCTGAGATTTCACAGTGTCTATGCATTCAATACTAAGGTGAGATATTCCTGCCAGTCTCTCTTCTTTTTAATTTGTGGAATGGACATCTTATCCTAGACTGCCCAGTCTACCCAGTTTGTCCAAGAGAACGTGATTCAATTAAATGATTTCTATGCATGTATGAGTTAGGGAAATGACTACCACTCTCTAATTTTCAATGTTTTTCTTAGTATATCAGATGTTAAGTGCCACATATGACTGAGTTATACACAAGAAATATAGACTATATATATTTTTGCCGGATTTTGCCTGACAGTATATTTGATAATAACTACAGAGAAGTAACAAGTTTATCGAAATGCGTTTTTCTCTTAGAGTTCTTATTCTTCTACTTCGCTTCTCATTTTCTTGCCCTCTATCTATTTTATTTTTATTTTATTTTATTTGGTTTGTCAATTGCTTACAAGATAATAGGTATAAGTAAAAACATAGTTATGGATGCATGGATACATATAAGAAAAATAAAAAAGAATCAATAGGACAGGGACGGTAGGCACGTTGGTGCGCTTATGCACGCCCCCTACAGACCTCTTAGGAAAGGGGTGAGGTCAGTAGTAGAATCTGCTAGATTGTGAACCAAAAAGGGAAATACAGGTAGTTGTCAACTTACACCAATTCATATAGTGACCATTCAAAGTTACAATGATCCTGAAAAAAGAGACTTATGACTGTTCTTAACACTCTCGACCCATGGTCACATGATCAAACTTCAGGTGCTTGGCAACTGGTTCATATTTATGACAGTTGCTACGTCTCAGGGTCATGTGATCCCACTTTGCGACCTTCTGATCCGCAAAGTCAGTGGGGAATCCAGATTCACTTAATAATCGGGTTATTAATTTAACGAATGGAATGATTGACTTAACAACTGTGGCAAGAAAAGTCATAAAATGGGGGCAAACTCAACCATTGGGGAAAACCTTACTCCTGAACTCCTGTAATGTAACCAGGGCTGGGCTGCTGGGGGTTCGCAGGGAGTGCCCCTCGCTAAATTTCTGTGCAGTTCAGAGAACCCCCAAATCCCACTCCTGGCTGGCCCCGCCTACCCTGCCCCTCCCAGGAGTCCCCAAGCGGCCCATTTTGGATGCAGGTATGTGCAGGTGCATGCGGAGGCTCAGAGAGGGGGAAAAAATGGGCCTCCTGGAAGTTTGGGCCTATTTCTGGCTTCCCAAGAGCCTCCGGAGCCTGGGGAGGCTGTTTTCACCCTCCTGGAGGCTCAAGGAAAGCCTCCAGAGCAGGGGAGGACAAAAACACACACACACACACTATGATGCAGGAGGCCAACTAGGCCACGCCCACCATGGCCACATCCACCCAGCAACTGGGCAGAGAACCCTTTGCTAAAAATTTTGAAGCCCACCCCTGACTGTAACAACAAGTGGGCCTTGAGAAAGTAAAAATGAGGTACTCCCATTCTCCCTCCTCGCCTTTGGGAAGGAGAAAAGGAAAGTACAGGTAGCTCTTGACCTCCAACGATTCGTTTAGCGAAAGTTACCATGGCACCTCAAAAAGTGACTGATGATTTTGTCACACTGATGACCATTGCGACAACCCCCAGGGTCAAAATTTGGCCACGAGATAACTGGAATATATATATATATATATATATATATGATGATTGCAGCGTCTCAGGGTCATGTGTTCATATTTTGCAGCCTTCTGACAAGCAAAGCCAATGGGGAAGGCCGACTTACTTAACAACCATGTTACTAATTAAACCACTGCAGTGACTCACCGAACAACTCTAACAAGACAGGTTGTAAAATAGGGCAAAACTCACATAACAACTATCTTGGTTAGTAAGTAATGCAAATTTTGGGCTCAGGTTCTGGTTTGAGGACTATCCGTAATCACATCAGGGGAAGGAGAAACAAAAAGGGAGAAGGACCCTATACAAAACACAGAAAGAGCCAAATTGTCTGATCAGGGGAAAGAGTTTGTTAATGGTGACTTAAGTTACAGTATCTTTATTTATTTATTTATTTTATTTATTTATTTATTTGATTTGTCAATTGCTTACAAGATAATAAGTATAAGTATAAACATAGTTATGAATACATGGAATGGGTACATATAAGAAAAATAAAAGAAACAATAGGACAGGGACGGTAGGCACGTTGGTGCGCTTATGCATGCCCCCTACAGACCTCTTCCTCTTCAGTTTCCTCCCTGCCTATCTGGGGATTATAGTGTAGGAAATCAGCACCCACCCCTCTCCTAGAAAAATGAAATAGCCTAGGAAATATTAAAAAGGCAGAATATTTTCCCTAAAAAGAAAAGTAGAAACTCAAAGAGGCAGAAACTCAGCCCTCACCCATAATGGACCATTACTCTGGCCTGGCCCAGTCTATTTTACATAACAAAGATCTATTCCAGGTAGAGCTCTAAGAGGAATTGCCCAAAGCCCTTTCATTACATCATCATCCAGCAAGGCTCAACCAAGCCTGGCACTCAGGACAGCCTACGGAGTTGCCCCTGCATGGCCCCATGGGAGTCTGACAACCAATCAGAATACAAGCTCAAATTCAAATGTCAACAGAGGATATATAACTAAGGGTCTCTCGGCATCTTAGCCTTTTTCTTTTCCTTCAACCAACATCTTGAAGCATGTGATCATCCTTTTCACTTTGGAGCTTCAAGCCATGTGATCCTGTCCACCATTAAACCATCTTTCCAAACAGCCTCCATGTTTCCAGTGTCTCTCTCCCCACTTGGAACTGAACCCAGAAGGATATTTCTTCCAACAATTGCTTAGCTTAACCTGTAGCACACTAATACACAGTACAAGGTCTGTTCAGAGCAGAGGTCTCCAACCTTGGCAACTTTAAACCTGGAGGACTTCAACTCCCAGAATTCCCCAGCCAGCAAAGCTGGCTGGGGAATTCTGGGAGTTGAAGTCCACCAGGCTTAAAGTTACCAAAATTGGAGACCCCTGATACAGAGTCCTCACAGAAGCTCTCGCACAGTGTTTTTCAAGCCTGACAACTTTACAAAATATGAAGAACACTGCTCTGCACCAGAGTGGACAACCTGAAACTCCAGGTCGCTTGAGGTCTCCAAGTTTGCTAAGGATTTTTATTCCTGCACCCCTCAAGACTGTTTATAATTTCTGAAAATCAAGTGGAGAGTTTTCCACTATTGCGAAGGAAGTAGTTTAAGCCCTGGAAAGCATGATATGTGCATTAAAA